ATCTGTATGTAGTCTTTTGTGTAATAGTTACTCTGCCAGATAGTTATGGCTTCAAACATTCCAGACCAATATTTCAGTTAAGAAATATTACGAAATATAACGAGATACTTAGTCATTATTACGAGAAAGTTTCTCATTATTACAAGAAACTAAGTCATTATTATGAGAAAATAAGTAATTATTTCGAGAAACTAAGTCATTATTACGAGAACGTTTCTCATTATTGCGAGAAACTAAGTCATTATTAAGAGAAAATAAGTCATTATTTTGAGAAAGTTTCTCATTATAATGAGATACTAAGTCATTATTATGAGAAAATAAGTCATTATTTCGAGAAGGTTTCTCATTATTACGAGATACTAAGTCATTATTACGAGAAAGTTTCTCATTAATACGAGATACTAAGTCATTATTACGAGAAAGTTTCTCATTATTACGAGAAACTAAGTCATTATTATGAGAAAATAAGTCATTATTTCGAGAAAGTTTCTCATTATAATGAGATACTAAGTCATAATTTTGAGAAAGTTTCTCATTATTATGACTTACAGAATTATATTTTTTTATTCAGTGGCGGAAACGGGCTTGCATAATAAACGGTATATTGAGAATGCAATAAAATATGCCAATCAGTGCATGCCTCTAAGTCAGCATGTTCTGTGTGTGTTTGCAGGTGTAGTTTCATCTTATACACAAACACACGTGATGCTCACGGTGTTTTTAGCATCTGCCATCTCAAGATATGAGGACTTCATCTCCAGAGTTGTTCTGAGAGTCACTTCACAAGTTTTTCACCATTTCATTTGAGAAAAACTACCATCAAATAAACAAACAAAATACTAAAATATACTTCTCAATGTAATAATATTATTTCAAAGGAAATAAAAACAACCATGTTATTTTGTAATATTTTGTTGTACATTAATATTTTCAATACGTACATTTTATATTTTCATTCAATGTCATTTTCATTTGATTTGACATAAATATTTATATTGTTTTAGTTTTAATTATTTTCATTGCGCACCATTTTTCATGATAAATTTGTATTAAAATCATAAAAGAATTTAGAGGAAAATAAAATGGATCTGGGTCCTAAATTAAAAAGTAGCTTACTCTGTGGTTATGTTTGTTCAATGAGGAAAGCATTTCCTTCCCCATTAATGGTAAACAAATATAGTGATACATATTGAATACGGAAAAACATTGTGATAACTTTTTTGGCCATACTGCCCTGCCCCAGAGTGAAGATTACTCAAAAAATATCAACTGGTGGGTCGCAGTCCTGTTCTAAAACAATGATAAATGCAAAAAATTAAATGCAGCTACACAAACCAAGCGTATATAGTTTGGATAGTAAAATACAGGGCTCTTAATTTCAAAGTAAGGAGAAACTAAAAGGTTTTGCTGTGATTTAGAAAAAGTCAGTTAAATTAGATAGATGCCAACATGGATAGGCTGCATAAGATGCCCTCACCCTCAAACAAAAACAACAACAAAAAACACGCAATGTAAAAGAAAATACGACTATAACTACATTCAATGCACTTAGAACTTGGACAAAATCTGTGTCCTGCAGCAAAACCAGCTGAGAAACACTACTTTAAGGACATTTGCAAACTCCATATATTACTGAAAGCACAAAAATAACAGCCCTTGATAAATCAAATCATAATTTAATGTCTACCACAGGGTATCAAAGCCTCTTGACAGATACTTCAGTTGAATATAAGGTGCATCTTGAAACAGTGATGTCACATTTGAACACCAAATCTGGTACTATAAGTGCTCTATCAGCATCTTAATAATGGCTGTTCAGAGTAACACTCAAGATGGAAAAACAGCCCGCAGATAACAGATGCAGCGGGAAGTGCGCACATCCTAATGGATTGCATTTATGCCACAGCCAGGGTCAGCAGATACAAACACAAACTGCATTAGCTTTCTCTAGAGGGGGAAAACTTAGCTCTTCCTCTCTATTAGTCCCCAAGACGTGTGTGTGAGTGAGATAGCAATAGAGAGTGAGGGAGTCTGCATCCACAGCACATGGGCTACAATACGACCAGCTTCATGCAAAATGCCACTAATGCGCTTAGCATAATGAGAGGTCATTAGCGAGCGAGATGGGAAATGGAGGTAGAGGTTTGTGTATTCATATATTAGTGAGGTCATCATTAATGCAAGCCTGCCGTACTCTCTAACTGAATTAGAGCCAGCTGAATGAGCTCTTCCAGCAGTGTGTGTGAGCCAACTTTGTTGACGCATCTAGATCCTCTTCACAGTCCTGAGCACCCGTGTTTGGTTCGCTGTGCGCTCTGAAGGGTCTGACCCCGTCTAGAGAGCTGGGCCATCAGCTTGTAATTACATTAGCAGCGGAAGAGAGGCCAGACTGCCTCAAGCGGACAAGTATAAGCTAGATTTACCATAACAGATGCCTAAATGTGCTTTCACATGGAAAGTCGATTTTTGCATTTTCTGAAAATGTGAGTGGTACTTGCCCACGTAAGTCACTGCTGGGATGCTAGGGTGTTATAGATGCTTGCCAGGGCATTGCTTCATAGCTGCTAAAGTTTCTATCCGAGTGGTTTTTAGTGTTGCTATCCGGCTTGCTAAGTGGATTGTTAATCACCCAAATCAAAAGAGCCAGTAAGAATTTAAAACTCTATAACATTCTGAGCTCTAGATACGGCTTTGCTTCCTCCTTCAATGTAAGTCTTTAATGCAACTTTTTCTCCCGTTTTATCATCTGCCATGAAAGAGTTCGGATTGCTTCGAAAATAATATAGATATTATTCATGTATGTAGTACAAAAGGTGTGGGGGAGTTGCATTACAAAGTCAACAAATATAAAAATATCTAAGTCACAATAGTGATTTCTGAAACCAAGGACAGACAAAAAAACACCTTTCATAACACATATGATGAATGGTACAACTTAAAATCAGTCAATATGACTCATGCGCTGTATGCACCCTTTTCACAGAAAGAGAAAGCATTTCCGCGATAATTATCATTGCATATACACTACACTCTACTGTGATATTGGGTTCTGCAAGTGGGTTTCTTTCTAACTTGATGTACGTTTGACTTCTTTCTCCCATCAGACTGCCATAATCCATGCTTTTTAGAAAGCTGTGGAAAAAGCAATAATGGATTTTTGTTTTGTTTTTTGCTGTTGGAACAAATTTGCTTCCATGTAGCTCTATAGAGGTTTACCCTGTAAAATAAATAAATGTGCAAATAAACTCCTAAGCCATCTGAAGCAATAGCTTTGTGAAAACAGATTAAATGCAAGTATTCAATGTTCATCTCTGATAACTCCTACAAGTGTGTGATTATAATGAACAAATATGAAGCATGAAGTTGTGTGATATCAGATTCAGATGGACAAGCTTTATTGTACCGGACAGCTCCTGATTACTGCATGCTTTCATTGTATGCCGAGTGAACATTCTGATGTAAGAAAGTAAATCAGGGGAGTTCCAAATGACAAGAAAGACTAAATGACTATGGTTAACTATACTTTTAAGTGGTCTGAAGTTGGACACTTAAGACAGTATGCGAGTCTCATTAAGGTTTGGCATGATTGGCCTCTTTAGGAAATGTCAGCATGGCTTGAGCCGTATCAGAGGGTGTTCTCTGGCACAGCAGTTCTGCGCTTATGGTCTTGGCAGCTGGTGTTGTTGATAAAGTGTTCCTGTTGCTGTTGGGGTTGTTAATGAGTCTGGAGGCTGTCTGCTGTAATGAGGAAAGCTAGCGGTTAACCTGCACCCTGTCTGACCACACACACTACCAGGGGCTTCCAGCCAAAACAATCAGGACAACATGACAAGTGTACTGCTACATTACCGTAAAACTACATCTAGACAACTGCTTTTCTTTTGGAGGCACTTACTTCGCTGAAGACACGATGAGCTGAGAGTCCTTGTACGCGATCAGGTAGGCCTGGTTTTCTGGATTGTGAACTGTTACCTGTATCGATAAATATCAAATTATAAATAAGTTAAAAAAGAGCCACAATGCAAAAAATAATCCTCTTCTAAATTGGCCCAGCAGAGATAGACTCTGTTGTTCAATCTACAGTAGGTTAATATCAAGGTTAATGTACTCTGTTTATCCCTTAACGAAATCTACTGAGGTTTACAGCTGACTCCCTCTACCAAGTACAATAATCAGAATTTCCTCATTTAAAAAAAAAAGGTCTAAAAGAATAAGGTCTAAAGTTATAAAGCTATAGTAAAGGATTTAATTGTCACACATGACCAGAATCTTACTAAGACTTAATAACTACACAACCATTCAAAAGTTTGGTGTCGGTAAGATTTAAAAAAAAAAGTTTTTGAAAGAAGTCTTTTATGCTCACCAAGCCTGCATTTATTTAATCAAACAGTCAATTTATTTAATTATTACATTAAATATAGTAATCTTGTGAGATATTTTAATTCAAAATAACTGTTTTCTATTTTAAAAATGTAATATTTAAAAATGCATTATTTCTCATTATGGCAAAGGTGTATTGTCAGCAGTCATTACTCCATTCTTCAGTGTCACATGGTCCTTCAGCAATCACTCTAATATGCTGATTTAGTGCTAAAGAAATAATTCTTATTATAAACGTTAAAAACAGTTGCGATGCTTGATATTTTTGTGGAAACCGTGATCCTTTTTTTTAGGATTCTTTAATGAATAGAAAGTTCAAAAGAACAGCATCTGAAATAGCAAAGTTACAATAATGTTACAAAAGATGTCACTTTTGTATTCATTTCTTTAAAAAATTAAATAAAATAAATAATCACCTTCCTGCCCCAATCTGCATGACGTAGAACATCTTTTATTGTAAAACCCATATGAAAGGAAATATAACTTTCTCATTTTTATATCAATGCTCAAAAGTATATGAATTTGGATTGAAATCTTTGTATCCCATGTAAATTGATTTGCATGTTCAAGGACAAACAGTCTAGATTCACATAATTCAAACTCATTCAGAGTACTTTATACGGCACGCGTTTACTTTTAAATAACATATGCATGACAATCACAACTCAAACGCATAGACGAGTATCAGACTTACACTTTCTAGAACACGCAAACATCTCTCAGCCCCCCACAAAGACGCCACTAGGTTCTCCTTATCATCCTCTCGGCTCAGGTTTTCCACACACTCTTTAACTGTGGGGAAACACACATGCACGTTAAAGTACTCTCACAAGTATCTTATTACAATATGCATGTATGTGAAACCCAGGCAAATGGGATCTTCATGACGTAATACAACAAAACACAATATTAACATCATATTATCAAACTTCTATAACAAATAACGGATAACAATCAGATCTTTAATACGGAGCAAAAATAGAAGACCTTTATCTACAATGTGGTCCAGGCCTCCCAGAAGCCGGAGTTCTTCTTTAAACCAATCCCCCGCTCTCTTTGACGTCAATGACAACAATGTCTCCATTGCTAAATGTCCCGTCTACAGAGAAAAAGACAATGCACAATCAGTCTGAAAGATATTATATAAAAGATACATTCAGATTTAATGACTCCATTATGCAAATGTAAAAGTTCTATATGCTAAACAGAACATTAAAGGGGTCATATGATGCGATTTAAATTTTTCCTTTCTCTTTGGAGTGTTACAAGCTCTTGGTGCATAAAGAAGATCTGTAAAGTTGCAAAGACTAAAGTCTCAAAACCAAAGAGATATTCTTTATAAAAGTTAAAGAGTCAGCCACGCCTACCTAAAACGGCTCGTTCTAACACGCCCCCACATACCTACGTCACAATCTGGGAAGGTTTGCATAACGCCGCCCAAATGTTTACGCAAAGAAAGAAGGCATAACTTTTATTCTCGCTGTAGTATTGTTGACGCTGCAGCCATGTCCTGAAGACGCTGTGTGCTTCGTTGTGAAAGCGAAACTACTTTGTTTGGTCTTCCAAAAGAGAACGATATCCGCTTCGTCATGCCTGGAGCTGATCTGTGCTGGTCGCTGAGGAAATACATCAACTTTCACCATGGAGTCCAGCCCTGGGTCCGTCACATGTGGTTGCTGCTCATTTGTCACATCCGACGGGCACGTCGTTCTCGAACCCTGCTGCCTCAGCTCACTCTATCCCGGCCTCAGCACACGCTAAGCCGGGGCTTCCCCTCACGGTAGGCCGCTGTGTTTTTCGTTGCCACTGATGATTAAAACGCGAGTTTTGAGCAGTGTAGAGTAGCACTTGTTGTTTGTCATTTCTCTGATCACAAATGCAGACAGAGTTTTATGTTTACGCGCAGCGATGCAACACGATGCTTAAAAAGACAGTATAAGGCATTATAATCAGTAATTGTGTCCCCACTGGATGCAACAAATGCCTCGTTTATAATGGGTTTTAATGTTTTTGTCTCGTCGCTCCGGCCTGGACACGACATCACAGTATGGTAAGGGGTGTAACAATTCCGTCACACGCTTGAGGTATTCGGCCAATCACAACGCACTGGATAGCTGGCCAATCACAGCACACCTCGCTTTTCAGACCGATGAGCTTTGTAAAATCGACGCGTTTCAAAAAGGCGGGGCATAGAGGAGAAACAATAATGTACAGTATGTGGAAAATAATGTGTTTTTTGAACTTTAAACCACATAAACACATTTCATTACACCAAATACACAAAATAACGTTCTTTTTAGCAGCATCATATGACCCCTTTAAAACAAATGTAAATAGAGGGCGAGAAATGCAAAGAACTTGATAAAAAGCTCTTGATCTGGCTCTGTCGGCTAAAGCAAAAACATGAAAACAAGTAAATATTATAATAGTTTAGCAAAGGGTGTTTTCAATGAATTTATGGATGAATATAGAGACAAGTTCTTGGAGAGGGTTTTATCATGCTGTTTTTCAGTGTGCTAACAGTCTAAGTGAGCGTTCACACAGGATGCATTATGTTCCGTCTGTGAATTTTTTTTAATTGCTGGTCTGTGTGCACATGCTCCAGTCAGATATCCTTTACCAGTGCGTCACGTCTGTTTTTTTTCTGTTTTTTTTTTTCCAATGTCAGCATTTTCAGCACAATTTAAAAACAGTGCGTCAAGTAACAACAGCTGAAGTTTTAAAATCCTTGAATGCTGTTTCATTCTGATGTGTTCCACCCAGCTGTTTTTGAACTTGTCCTGTGAGAACAGCTTATAAAAACTACACTGTCAGCAGCACACTAAACCCTCTCTGAGAAAGGGTTCACCATCTTTAAACAACTTTTTTGCAACATTTGCCATGCTCAACAATAAATTCCACTTGTGAATAAGCTGCATGATAATGTTTAAACAGTTAATCATGATTATTTTGATGATGATTTTATATTTGATTATTCAAAATATCTCAATAGATATTACTAAATTGTAACTAATTGCAACTAATGTTTTCTGGGGGGGG